AGTTCCCACAAAAATAACAAAAAATGGCGCCATCAAAAGTGTCGTGTTGGATATTACATGAAGAAAGGCGTGAAAAAGACCAGTTTGTACTGCATTTATCATATGAGTTAATTAAAGTTAGGGTAAATTATGGGTTTAATATCTATACTATTAATTTTGATCCGCTTTAATATCTAAATTTTCATTTTTTAAAATTATATCTAAAGTTTAACTTTTATTTCATTTTACTATTTTGCCGTTAAAATTTTTAGTTTTTATTTTATTTTAGTATATTCGTTCAAAATTTAACATTAAGTTTTAAAAATATTGAAAGTTTAGGTATTAAAACAGATCAAAACTGATAGTTTAAGTACTAAATGCGTTAAGTTTTTAACGGTGGGTACTAAAATAATAAAAATTAAACGTTAGGTATGATTTTAAAAAAAATAAAAGTTTAGATACTAGAATGTGGAATTTACCCTAAATTTTATGATATGTACAAATTATTTATTTTAATGAAATAAAATGTTAATTTTTTCAAAAATCTATAATGAAAATTAATAATTATAAAAAAAATTTACAATAAATTATTTATAATATTTAATTTAATTAAAGAATAATATAAAAAATTCATCTTACGTTATTCGCATATTTTCCGAGTAACCAAACACGCGACAACAATGGTGTAAAACCAAGATGGACTGAAATTTGAGCCCCCACCACCGCCGTTTTTCTCATCTTTCTTTGGATTCAAGCGAAAGGGAACGACTAAAAATTATAGGGGAAACTACGCATTTATTATCTGTTTCTTCTATTTTAATATTTAAATTTTTATTTTTTTTAAATCATATCTAATGTTTAATTTTTATTTTATTTTAATATCTACTATTAAAATTTTAATTCTATTAGTACTTAAACTATTAATTTTAATCAATTTAATAACTAAACTTTTATTTTCTTTTCAAAATTTAATGTTAAATATTTAACAATGTATTAAAATAAAACAAAAACTAAAAAATTTAACGAAGGGTTATTAAACCGAAACAAAAATTAAATTTTACTATTTTAGTTGACTATATAAAAAATTAAAAGTTTAAGTATTAAATCAGACAAAAATTAATAGTTTAAATATTAAACCAAAAATTATATCATTAGTCTTTATAATATGTATAAATTATATATTTTAATTTATATTTTAAAAAATAAAATTATAAATAGAGAGTTGGACAATTTAAAAAATTTATAAGAAAATGACAATAAAATACTTGATTTTAAATTCCAACTTATTTACCTTATTCTCATAATTTACATTACCTCCTTTATTTTCAACTTCAAGAAAATTTTAACTAAATATCATACGGTCTGGAATTATATTCAACCTTCAATTAGATACAGAACTCTTGAACATCATAGTAATAAAATTAAAGGGAAATTATGAAAACCATTAAAAGAATCACTGCATCTTCCCTTCCTCATACTCTCCCTCTTGGGCCTGGTAACCGCCTTGAGCACCACCGGAAGAGCTGCTTTCTGAACCACGAGAACCACCACCGGCCATGTGTTCACCGAACTTCGAGACTGCTTTATTTGCTGGATCAATCTTGGCCTTGATCTCGTCAACATCCTCTCCTTCCATTGCCTTCCTCAAATCCGCGACAGCATCCTCGATCGCTTTCGCAACTTCATTTTAACAAATTATTGACATGAATTTTTTAACATAATTATTTCTTGTATGGTTCAGGGTTGCGCACATGGTTGTGATGGGTGAATTTCTCTGTGGGGATTTTCTATAAATACAATAATTCAAACTCGAGATTTGTTTAAGCAATATCAAGTTGTTTACCACTCGAATCAATCCGTTGATAGGATATATAGTTATTCATTTTTATTTAGGGTACTACCTTTTATAAAACAAAGGGCTTATCGTGAATGAGATTGGCTTGGATGTTCTTTATCGGAGGCAGCTTTAAAACGAAGGTGCAATAAATGTGTTTCGGTAAGAGGTTTTCATGTTTTACTGGTTCCAGAGGATGAAGAATAAGACGTGGATGTTATAGTGACCGGTCAATGGGCTAGGTAAACGGTCAACATAGCAGGTAAGCGGTTAACGGTCTAGCTCAATTTTCCGTTACTTATATTAACTAACGTTAGTATCCAATTTATTACTTTTGAAGTTTCAAGGAGAAAAATTAAAATTTACTCAAACATTTGTGCAATTTATCCTTATTGTTTTTATGATTAATCTAAGATGATTATAAACGCTAATATTTGTTCCAGAAATTATTAATCATTTGACGATAAAAGTCTCGAAGCTAAGATTTCTAAGGATAACAACTATTTACTTAACCACTGAAATAGTTTAGTCCGTGTAAAGTTCTCTTTATTATTAAATATTAATAATTATTTTGATATTTTTTCCCGAAGAGTCCATGTACATTTTTAGCTTGATAAATCTTCCTTTAACTCTTAAAAAAGTTTTGAGCAATTTTCAAATTGAATAGAGTCCTAAGATGTGTCATTAGTTGGTCTAGTGAGATAAGACACTAAATCCCTTAAACAAAATTAGACGTTTGAATCCTGACGGTTGCAAATGGAACAAACTGAGTTAAGAGAGTCGTACTTACCTCTGCAGTACCCAATCCATATTAATCAATAAAAAATAATATTTTTTTACTGTTGGGAATACGAGCTTAATTGTAGAATATTATTATTAGAGCAGTAAGGTATGGTGTCACCTTTTCTTTTTTGTACTTTGGTCAAAACTTATTATTAGGCATAATATAAAAAAATAACCCTCAATGTTTATCAAAATGATCAGTTTGATTTCTATTCCCTTTTTTTTTTGTATTTTAGCCTCAAATGTTTCACTTTTTTGCAAAAAGTTTTCTCTATAGATAAAAATTATTAGTCAACACATGATTAACGCTATAACATATGTACCTTTTTTAATCTAAAATGAAACATTGAGGGTTAAAATGTACCAAAAAAGAATAAAGGACAAAGTGATTATTCTATCAAATGTTAGAGATATTTTTGTCCTAAAATGAAACTTTGGGGGTCAAATGCTCCAAAAAAATAGAATAGGGGTAAAATAATCATTTTAGTAAATGTTGGGGGTTAATTTTGAAATTATGCTTTATTATTATATGATTTATTAATATTTCACACTTAGCCCATGGTCAAATGCTCAAAAAAAATAGAATAGGAGCAAAATAATCATTTTAGTAAACGTTGGGGGCTAATTTTGAAATTATGCTTTATTATTATATGATTTATTAATGTTTCACACTTGGCCTATCTCCGTATTTCAACGCATCAGAAGCTTTTTAATTACCTGTTAAGAGTGTTATTAAAGTCCTAAAACTTTATTACATAGGTTTGATTTATACGAGGAAACATTTACACTTAATCATATATTAAGTTTTGGGTAAACTACTTATTTGGTCACCCACCTAATATTTAGTTTCTATTTTAGTCACTCAACTATTTTTTTTTCAAAAGCATACTTAACATTACATTTTGATTGTGTTTCTATCACATGCCATTAAAAGATTAATGATAATACTAAAAATAAAGAAAGAAAAAGGATTAGATAAAGTCTCATAAAATATGGAATTATATATATTTGATTAAACTGAATGTGATTAAAATGTGTAGTATATGTTGTAAAGATTCTAAACTATTTGACAATGAATGTTCAAACACTTCTCTAAATGTCAGTGCTTGAACTTAAAACCTCTAGAGACAACAATCGTCCCTTTAACCACTGAGGTAGCTTGGTTTATGCTATGAGATTATATTTTATATCATATTAAATTACATATTTATTATACCTTTTAAACTAAATAAAATTTATAGATAAAAAAACACAATATTATTTCAGATTATTTATTAGGACAAACTACACGTTTAATAATCAATGATCATTTTTCTTTTGTTTTTTTTCATCCAAATATTTTTTCAAATCATATCTAACATTTATTTTTAGTTTCATTTTGGTCACTCGCCGCAAAAAAAAAGTAACATAATTATTGACATGATGCTTTTTTAATTTTTCAATGTTGTTGTGATATTATCTTATGCTGACACGTCAATATCACCATTAATTTTTTAACGACATATGAATAAAATGAAAGCAACACTAAACGTTAGGTATGATTTTAAAACAAAAAAATAGTTAGATAACCAAAACAAAATAAAAGTGATAGTTGGGGTGCTAAACGTATAGTTTACCTTATTTATTATTAAACATAATAAAATATGTTATCCTTTAAAAAAACAATTTAACTACATTTGAATTTTAATTTTAAGGTTAAATTGCGTTTTTAGTACCTAAACTAGCAGTTTTAGTCCATTTGAGTACATGAACTTTCATTTTTTTTCAAATTCATACCTAATGTTCAGTTAGTACCCGTCATTAAAAACTTAACGCGTTTAGTACTTAAACTATTAATTTTTATTCGTTTTAGTGCCTAAACTTTCAACTTTTTTAACATTAAATTTTGAAAGGGGTACTAAAATGAAACAAAAACTAAAGTGTTTAACAAGGGTACTAAAATGAAACAAAAACTAAACTTTAGGTATGTTTTTGAAAAATATGAAAGTTTAGGTACTAAAATAAACCATAACTGATAGTTTAGGTACTAAACACATAATTTAATCTAATTTATTATTTATTATATCTAAATATAAAATTTGAATAAATAATCATTGGGCTCTCCTCGCTGTGTTAGCTTACGTGTCGATCATCTATACGTCAATAAACTTTTCCACTTCCACTTTTATCAGTAATTCCACATCAGACAACCCACGAATCCGGGGAGCACTCTGACGGTTATCAGATTACCAACTTCTGCAAATCACCTTTGAGTGCATCTATAGTCTACTCGCTTTCTCCTTCCGACGCGTGTCCCTTCGAAATCTACCTTTGCTTCTCCAAAACTCCGATCCTCTCCCGGATGTCAACAGAGCTTTGTTTGATTCACCGCGACAGATTTCGCTCAAATAAAGCGAGTAAATATCTTATGTACTTGCGATAGTAGGTCTATAATAAAACCGTTAAGCGGTTTGGGCTTAGTGGTTTAAGCGCTAAAAAGTGGTTTCCCTGTGATATTTGAAAACCACTTACAGCGTTTTCCATTTAGAGCATAAATATAATTTCATATTTTCATATCTCCACCAGTTCATGTTCTCTCTGGAAAGTTATCTTCCAAAAAGAGAAGGAAAAAAAAAACAACACGAAAAGCACTTGATTCTATTCATAATTAGCTTCAAAACAAGTAAGCTTTCTTCTCTCTCTAAATATACGATCCCTAAATGGATAAATCTTTTTTCGCAGCTCATAATAATCTTTTTTTTCTTCATATTTTACTTTATTTTTCGATTGATTTCGCTTTTCTTAGTATGTAGTTATTTGTTTTTGACTTGGACTTTTATTTTGGAAATTGATTTGAGATTTTCTAGGGCTGAATTTGGGGAGATCTAGGCGAGAGAGGCAATTAAAAAACTCTTAGATTTCAATGGGAAGAGGAAAATTAGTGATTCGAAGAATTGACAATTCGACAAGCAGGCAAGTGACTTTCTCGAAGAGAAGAAACGGATTGTTGAAGAAAGCGAGGGAGTTATCGATCCTTCGCGATGCTGAAGTTGGATTACTCATCTTTTCCAGCACCGGCAGGCTTTACGATTATGCCAGCACTAGGTCAGTTTATCTTTCTTTACTTTTTTTTGTGTTTTTTTTTAATTTGTTATATATTTATTTACATTTAATAATTTTGAAATCTGACGAGTGATTACTATTTTCATCTTTTTTTTCCATACATGTGTTTATAATCATATATCGGTCCTTCTTGTTATCTGAGAACTGTTTGGCTGTTTAGATTCACAAGGAAACATGCATGCAGATTTAAAGTCTATAAATGAACAAGTTTGAGATAATATGAATAATGAAGAAGAAACTAAAATCCACCGAAGTTTCTTTTAGTGATGACAAGTAGAAAAAGTTCTTATTTACATCATTACATGTTAATTTTAAGGATGATTGTTGGAAGCAATTAGGTTAAATCTTGAGTACATATAGAGACTTATGTTAGGATGTCTCGTCATGAAAACATTTGATATTACTTTCAAAAGAATAGACATATATATAATTATTATCTTATCTTATATAATTATGTAATTTGGTTTAAAAAACGTTATGTATCTTTCTAAAATATCGATTAAGGACATAATCGATTTTGTTAATTCTGCTATGTGTATACGTATGCATGGCTTTTTGTTTATTTGTATGGATGGACGGAGATGAGAATACAAAGAAAATTAAGAATGGGAAAGTGAAATCTTGGGTAAATTACTCCATTTTTCATTGGCTTTGAGGGTTGATCGCATGCATGCATGCTTTGTTTTTTTAGATCAGGTTATGATTTGGATTTGGGGAAAAAGTTATGACTTTGATGATACTATATATGTATGTATGTGTATGTGTATGTGTATGTGTATGTGTATGTGTATGTGTATGTGTATGTGTATGTGTATGTGTATGTGTATGTGTATGTGTATGTGTATGTGTATGTGTATGTGTATGTGTATGTGTATGTATGTGTATGTGTATGTGTATGTGTATGTGTATGTGTATGTGTATGTGTATGTGTATGTGTATGTGTATGTGTATGTGTATGTGTATGTGTATGTGTATGTGTATGTGTATGTGTATGTGTATGTGTATGTGTATGTGTATGTGTATGTGTATGTGTATGCTTGGAGAGGTAGATACAGTATGCATGCGTGCATATCTTTTTCATTTCTTTCAAGTCGGGTAATGATCTCGATTTAGCCAAAAAAGAAAAAAAAGTTTAATTTGAAGGATATATGTAGTGTCGAATTGCATAAACTTCACACCATAGATGATTAATGCATGTTTTTCTAAAATGATAGTAAAATAATTTTTAATTTGTTCATATAAATGTTAGTATCATCATTTACCATAAAAGATTTTCTAAAACATGTTCATATAAAAACGCCACTAAAATATAAGTATTTACCGATATTTATTAAAAAAATCCGTTAAAAACCCATTTTACTGTAGTGAATGAACGGATAAATTAGTTAAGAAACAATGCTTATTCCTAAAAAGCAAAATAGTGAAACGGGTATTAAATAAATTGCATTCTGCGGCTTATATGAAATGAAAAACAGCTGGCTCCAACATTTTGATATTCTTTTAACTTTATAACAACATTATTAGTTATGCCACACAAATAACTTAACTTTGAGACACTTAGACATTTTTATATTAAGTAGATCGAATAAATATTTAATTAGATTAATTCTTGAAGTGTTTAAACTACGATTTTGTCATTTTAAATATTTTATATCACTCTCTAGATTATGATCTTCATTTTTAATTGGTCTTTAAACATTATAACATTTTATGTTAATTTTCAAACTATCAATGTTTTTCTATTTTGATCATTCTATTAACATGTTAACTCTATTAATTAAAAATTTAATCTATTTTTAAATGTTCTAGGAGTTAAACTCGTGACCTTTTAAAAAGTCTAATTTATTTATCAATATTAAAACTATCAATGTTATCCTATTATCTTTTTGTTAACGTGTCGCTAACTATTAGTTAATTCTTTTTTTTAATGTCATAGGAATTAAACCCGTATCTTTCTAAAAAATAATTTATTTTTAATAGTTCTTGAAATTTTTTAGATCACAAGTTTGATTTATAGGACCTTAAAAATAATAATTTTTTTCCAATAGAGTTAATGATATATGAACAAAATAATTAAATATAACAATATTGATGGTTTGAGGATTGATATAAAATATTTTAAAATTTAAAGATCAATTTAGAGTGAGATTATAGATTAAGAAAGCGTTCTAAATTTAGGAATTAATTTAAAACAAAAACCATAGTATGAAAACCCATGCTCAAAAAAATGAGAATAAAACATAAAATGGAATCTTAAATTATTTATTTATTATTATTATTTATTATTATTAAAAGAGAGGTTATAGTTAGAGAATGAGATAAATTTAGGTCCAAATAAGAATCTTGCACCTATTGAATACCACTTTTAAGAATGATTGTAAGAACCAATTAGGTTACATTTTGAGCTCTTCAACCCCTTATAGACTTGTTTTAGGAACTCCAATAATGAAAACACTTCTTACTTTCAAATGACTGTACAATCGCACATACATACATATATAATCCACAAAGATGTTAAGACATTATATCCTTAAAAAACATACCATATATTTGTATTACTTTGGTTTAACACTTTTAAAGAGATCTTCATGAGTTATATTTTTACCTTTATTGGTGATACAATTCTTTTATAAAGTTACCTTTAGAAAAACAAATTTTGAAATTACCCTTAAACTATTTTGAAGAAAGAGAAGTAATTGAGATAATAAAGAAACATAAGATCCCCCCCCCCCTCTATATCTCAAATGAAACTTTATTTTGAGACAGCTGAAGATTTTCAAACACAATTATTGAGGGAGTGGGAGGGAGCATTTTCTTTAGCATGCCAAGTTACAAACACCTTTTTTAAACTTGTACATATAATTTTAAAATGAAACCATCCATGTATAAGACCTATTTCATAATTCTTTATTATTGTTAAAATTTCCAACTAAAAAAATAATTATAAAATATAATTTTAATAGAGTAAAGTACATAAATGATCCCCCTGACTATAGGCATTGTTTTATTAAGTCACTCAATTATCAAAAGTTTCAAAATATTCCTTCGAATATAGAATGATGCTTTGTTAAATCTCTCAACTATTAAAAGTTATAAAATGACCACCTGATTATTCATTATGTTCCAAACTCGTCATTTTTTGTCAAAAAATGATGGTTGTTTAAGCTGTACATTAATATGATGACTAAGACATGATACTCATTTAAAATTCTAGAATCATATTTTATCATATCACAGTTAATATGTTAGCATTCAGCTCAGAATATCGTTCACTTTGTAATAGAAAAGAAGAGTCTATAACATAATAAATAGTTAGGTGACATTTTTATAACTTTTAATAGTGAAAGAACTCAACAAAACAACACTCTATAACTAAATGATCATTTTATAACTTTTAATAGTTGAAGAACTTAATAAATTGATTTTAAGATATAAAATAAATACCATTTCAGTAGTAAATTTAAGCTTTTTAGATTTCTTTTCCCTCATTTATATTAGCTTCTTTCAATTATAAATATTGACTTTAAAAAATTTAAGTTACATTTAGATATTAGAGTTTAATGTAAATGCCGATCATAAATCAGAGAATTGAATGTCTTCTTCTTCTTTTTAACCATGTTATCAGCATGAAGTCTGTGATAGAACGCTACAAGAGGGTAAAAGAGGAACATCATCAAGTAAGAAGCCCCGCTTCAGAAGTCGAGGTAAAGTATATAATTAACTGCGACAATTTAATCCATAAAGTATCCCTGTTTGACACAATTGTTTGCAAAAACCATTCATATCATTGTTTCCCTTTTAACATTTCAGAAAAACTTTCATTAATAAATCAAACATAAATAAAACAATATGGTTGCTTATTGCTGAAGAAATAACCATAATCAAACCCAGACAAATAAGCATCTACCTTCCATCGTTACATCTTCCTCCTTTTAAGGCATCCCTTTAAGCCTGGTATCAAACTTTCTTAGTAAGATAGTAATAAGAACATGGACGCCTACAAATATATATCAGCATCGATTCGAGGAACCGCGTATCAAAAAACGGAAACTGTGCTTTTATCACTTGGAATATTCATCTTCAACTTTCTTCCAAAATGAGGACCATCAACAGAAAGAAAGAGAAGCGGAGAAAGAACCTGGCTTTACTTGGAGGGACGGAGCCATACAATGGAAAACCGTGTTGCCGGACAATGGGAAATTATATGATGGTTCACACTTCACACAAAAACATGGTGCTATACAGAGATAAGAGGAGAAATGATGCCACAAAAACAATGGAAGCTTCAGCTACATATAGGAATCAGCTTAAACATGGAGCTTCTAGGACTTATATACCATGAAACGTTCGACATAGTAAAAAATGAAATCCCTCCAAGTCTAAGACTATAGTCCTTTAAGCAAAACCATCGTAGTATTCCCCGTCAGTCAAAGGTAACTTCGAAGATTTTAGAAACCATCAGAACAAAAGCTTTACAAGGCTAAACCCTGGAAGCCCTCTTATTAAAGTCTGCATTAGTATCGAGTCTACTATAGAAATGAATTCCCACCGCATCAGTTATTATATTCCGCCGAATAGCATGAGAAGAACCCTCTTTTTTTCGCAAACAGAAAATGCCTGTTGAAATCTCAGCAATGAACCAAAAGTAGACATGCATACTTGTATCTTCTAGACAGATGTTGCACTCCAATTTTAAAGTAAAAAGGTAAAATTTACAGCAACCAACAACTGGATGCCTCAAGTACTTGAAGGTTGCAGACAGATCGTTTTTATCAAACTATCGAAGGTGTTAGAAGCGAAAAAAAATCTTCAAGTAAATCGTCCTCTGTTTAAATTGCGCCTTTTATCCTTTTCCCCACTGGGATCCTCAAGTGTTCATATACTCTCAGAAGTGACTTCACAATTCAAGAATCACAAGTCATAACCACCTTGGTGTCCAGAGTAACTTACAATTGTTTTTCTTTCCGCTGCATCTGCAGGTTTATGTTCAATAGGACTCCGACACCACTACTTCTGCCCAACAACTGTCTTTCCTAACTGTAAGATGCCACCCTCTGCTCAAACTCTAAAGCAACAATCCCATCGTACAGTCAGCAATATCCACTATTTGCAACCTCAAGTAGGTTAGTACACTCTTGCAAGAAGCAATCATTATGCTTACTTGTTTAGTGTTACCTAATCAAGCATATCTTATTCAGTCTAAACTCGAATTTGAAGGCATAAGCAACTTCTCAGCAGGATATTCATTATTCAGATGAATATCCACACACACAAAATTGCATTTGTCGTGAAACATGCATAAACATGCCTAGTGAAAAAGAGTTTCCATGCACACCAGGAGTTGATTTAAAAATGTTTACTGGGTGTTTTTTTGGTATGTTTTGGGTTATTATTGTAAGGGGTTTTGTTTGTTTTTAAACGTTATGTAATCTTTTGGTATTAATGAATTTTGAGGCACTCTTTTCCTCCCTCCGCTGATTAAGAAACACCGATTGGTGTTCCGTTAATCATGAGGGGTTTTTTTAATGAGGCCTACACTTCCTATAAAAAAAACATCTAGGGTTGATAACTCATGTGCCTGGTTAATTAGTGATTTACTCTTGAGCATAAAAATTTATGCATGCTGATATCACATTCATGATTCAAGAAGAAAATCAAATAGAAAACTTATGGCTAGTGAGGCAAATAACAGACATGAGAGAGAGAGAGAGAGAAGGCATCGATATGCAAATGTCAAAAGATGCCAATCCGAAACATAGACCCAACACTAGAATTAAAACACCAGAAATTAGGGAAATAATACCTCCATATCTACAGATATTATGGAAGGAACATATGGTCTCCTCAGAATGAACCAAGGTTGACCACACACTTGAGCATAAAAACTAGAATGGGGTTAAGAGTGACTTCAATAACTAATGAAGACAAATGACTTCTACTATCTTAGAAATAAACTCTCCTCAAAGAACATTCAAAGATGTCTCCAAATAAGGTATCTGTATCAATTGTGTACTCTTAGTCCCCTTTAGTACATTACATTCTAATAGCATTCAAGGCCGTGCCTATCAATAGCGTGCTACTACTAGACAAGAAAAGTGTTTTGGACACCTTTAGGCAAAAAGCATTTAATGAAGTGCATGACTAGGTGCATCTAGGCTAGCATTTTTGTAAAACAATAGGAGTAAAAAAGGTTGTCTTGATTGAAATTTTTTTAAAGGTACTTTATTTTTCACATTTTATCATTATCTTTTCCTACAATAGTGGGAAAGGTGATATTTGGGAACTCAACAACAAAAATAGGACCATAAGTAAATCACTCATATGACCCAACAAAAGAAAATTTTGAAGGTTTTGGAGATTAATTGGTCAATCTAGACCAAGCACGTACATATTGTGCCTTCCTCTCTTCACTTGAGCAATTTTATTATGCCTTAGGCAATGGCTTTTTTACTAAAAAAAATACCCTTCCAAAAATTATCTACGAATTTAGTACCCTCCTCTAATGGCACCCTTTTGTTGATCGGGCGTGCAGCATGCCAAATAGGGCAAAGGTGTGCCTTGTTAGCCATGCCTTTGTCCTACATGACACGCACACTCAACAAACATTTAAACTTCAAACAATGGATAGCGTGACCCATGTGATGCGCTTTTTTATTGAAAAGTATGTTTGGAAAACATTTCATCTCAAAATATCTTGTTCTCTATTGCTTATGGCAAACTAGTCCTTAATAAAAGATCACAACAAACCCAAGACTTAATAGATATGCCCGGCAACACCATTCAAGACTCCTCTTCAAGAACATCGCCAAGGCCATCAAACTCACACAAGGTAAAGAGGAACAACACAAAACAACCTGAGGTTTGCTACCATGTTATGCATCCAACCTAAGGTTGAAGGACATATCTCTATATTAAGAATTGCAAAAAGTTCAGAAAGAAGAATCTAACTCAAACTTGTCAAAAGGAGATTTAAGCTTGCAAATAACTTCAGTTTGAGTAATAAATCACTTGGATGCATTACAGTTGCAAAATATGTGAGTTGAGTAATTTAACGAGGCCTCCACTTCCTATCAAAAAAAAAAAAAAACAACAAAGTGAGTTGAGTCGGTATATTAATCCAAGTAACTCACAAGTAGTTGACATTGTATTGTCATTGAATAAAGATTACTCTACCAAGCTCTTTGACGTGTAATTCAATTTTTACATCTCTTTTTATATTAGTTTAAAAATACCATTGTCACGTTCAGGAATATGATTCTTACTTAACAATTGACTTTGTACTTGATAGTTTTGGCAAAGGGAGGTAGCAAGCTTGAGGCAACAACTACAATACCTGCAAGAATACCACAGGTACTAAAAGCCTCCATTTTATCACACTAAAACACTTTTTAAGAATCTTTGGACTTGTAAATTTAAAGCAAGAAGCTAAGAACTTCTACAAAGTGTAAAAATCATGCCTCAATTTTTTGTAGTCACAAATGCATCAACTACATCGTTTCCAAAACTAAATTTTATGATCATGTTAGCCTATCTAACGGGGAAGAACAAGGATGGAACCAAGATTTGTGTTCAAGGGGGAAATATAGAGAAGGTTTCTTACATCACTATAGTACATTATGAATGTTTCCCATGGTTTTGATAGTTTCAGAGCCCATTGAAAGGTTTAAATTTTCAATACCAAATAACAGATTTTCTACGTATAAAACCATATAATCATTCACTAGAGAATCTCCATTCAAAATGGTCATTTTTTTCAATAGGTTTAATTATTGTCTACATCGAATTACTTTGTATAAAAAGAAGAAAACTATGGTACAACCCCTATGTTTCTTTGACATTTCTTTCACAAAGTCACTTTTCTATGTTCTTTTCTACATTGGTCCCCCCTTATTTTTATTAATGGCCGTTCAACGTCTACTTTTGTCATGTTTTATTTTTTATTATTTTTTTGGATGAGAATCCTTTGTGTTGTGTTATAGTTTTTCAAAGCTTTGAAGGGTCCAATATCAATAAACAGATAACAATAAACTCAAAGTTCCTGCAAATTTTCATATGATATCCTATTATTTTTCTAGTTCATATTTTATCATTGAAATGCTTATTATTTTCAAAATTAAAATGATGTGTGATAAATATTTTAATATTTTGTTAATTTCCATAGGGCAGAATATGATCTTTAATTTTTAAAGTAATTTTATAATATACACAAAGGGTGATTAACAATTGTAATTTGTTGAAGAAATCAGTTCACCTTCTAATATAAAATTACCACGCTCTGCTTATACACAACATTTTCCTTCATGATCATGCTTGTCATATGTACGCCTAAATCATCTTCTCTTGCAATTTGAACACAACCATTCTCAAACTTTAGATGAACATGGATAAGAATAGTCTTCATAAACATATAATTTAAATAAACAAAACAACTTTTTCCATGAGGATGTCAAGAAATTTAGTATATATAGCATGACATCCATATCATGATAAGAACCTTTAAAACTGATATAGTGAGATTTTCCATACCATGTGATAAGGAATAGCATATATAAATTTATCTTTGAAGGGTTGCAGGCAATTGATGGGAGAAAGACTATTTGGCTTAAGCATCAATGATCTGCAAAAATTGGAAAACCAGCTTGAAATGAGTTTGAAAGGTGTCCGCGTGAAAAAGGTATGGCACCATTAGAATGGGATGAAATTTTCAACCATATTCAAGATCAAATGATAATATTTATGCAATTACTCCTATGCTATTCTCTGCTTGTAGGATCAAATTCTAAGAGACGAAATAAAAGAGCTGAACCACAAGGTTTAACATAAACTTTTGTTGCATTTCTATTCAACTTTTCATTGTTTGAAATTTTCTTGTTAGGTAACATTCAGTTATTGAGTTGCAGGGACACCTCATTCATCAGGAGAGTCTAAAACTGCATAAGAAGTTAGACCTCATGTGCCAAGAAAACACTGAACTTAAAAACAAGGTACTGGATTAGACAATTTATAATTGATAAAAATACCATTACCACTATGCAATAAGTCCCATAAAATAATCTTGAGTTACAAGCAAATGAAGATTTTCCTCATGATAGTCCTAAATAGCACAATTTTTGGTTTTAGGTTTATGGAACACAAGCAAATGAAGCAAGCAGAAGCCCCCACACAAATTACACTTTCAACAATGGACATGATCTGCATGCACCTGTTCATCTCCAATTAAGCCAACCCCTACCTCTTAAGAATGATGCACCAGAAAAATCAATGAAGTTGGGTAATTCTTCCACTCAATTCAGTTTTAAAAGCTACAGCAAACAAAAGCCAAGTAAGAAAGCATATATTTTTTTCAATATCAATCCTAAAAGCAACTTCTCAAATTTCCAACAGATTACGACTGTAATAGCAAACTTGTCGGACAACTATGGATGGACATCATCAGTACCTCTCTCAACAACCACCCCTCGGTTAAAAACTGAAGCTTCTACCAGTGGCCTTCATGTTCCATCAATTAGATAAAGTATGTACGCATACAAAAAGAAAAGAAAATTATCTTAAATATTTAATGAAACGAACTTTAGGGTTCTGTAATGAATAGAGAAATACATTATCAGGTGTAAATTTACGAGACAATTAGAATGCACTGCTTGTGTTTGAATGTTATTCCAGCGTCAACTGCCTTGTTAACTTATTGTGTTTGACGGTAAAGATTTACCGACTGCAAATTGCAATTGTACTACTTGTGTTATCCAATAAAAACAATTTCTCACATTGGGTTTCGTTTCTTCTAATAGCTCCACATTTTTAGGTAACAATGAAGTAAATTAAAGCCAAAGCTATTTATTAATTAGAATTCCACTTCAGGAATGCTTTATATTTATAAAACTAAAAAAAGAAACCAAAATATAGGTAAAGTTGTAACTCTCTTTCCTAGCAAGCCCGTATTGCACAACTCAAAGATTTTATGGTTGTTAAGGGTCCAAGTAAAAATTTAAGAAGATTGAAGGTATTTGTAACAGCCACACCTTTTCTAACACCAGAACCCCAAGTATAAACAATGAAAACTTGAATAATTGCCAACAGATATACCAATAAGCAGAAAATTTTTATTGACAATACTATATAATTGGACTAATACTTCCATTAATGTTTAGGGATTTATTTGAGTGCTACTCTTACTGCTAGCAATAGTTTGCCTAAGAACCCAAAAGACTTGCTAAAGAAGAAAAACGATAGATACCAATTGCTAAACTAAAACGAAAAAAACGAAGAAAAAAGAAGAAGCAAAATGCCACTGCTGGAATAATTTAAGAGTTCATCGATCAATACAAATCTATTAACTCCTCCACAGGAGGCAAGCACACTATGATAATAAAAACAACTCACTAAAAATAACTACTTATCCAAGAAAACCACAACACCATTTTCCTTGAATCGGAATCTACTGAGAAGCAATGCAAAAGATAATACCATCTTTTTGTAACTTTAAAGATGGTACTCCAATTAAAAATAATTCAAAGAAAAAGCTTTAGAAAGCAGCATTAATATAGGTTAGAAATTCAATTAACAATTGCACAGATTGACAGTGCAAGTAATAACATTGCAGGAACCCGGTTAAAATTAGTTTCAAATACAATAACCCTAACAAACAACCACCAAAATCAATTCAGCTACTTATATACAGAGAGAATTATCATAGACCAGCAATTTTGATTATACATCCATTATGCTAAACCACTGAAAAAAGAAGACATGATGGTCTAACATGATGATCACAGATAGAGGTCTTTAAACAGAAACTTCCTATCTAAAATGCTTTTTCGTTTTTCATTTGAAAGCATAATCAATCTCCTTACTCTTTTCTTTTCATTAATCCGACTAATTCAAACCGGCATTCTAACAGCCAAGACCAACGGCCTCGATACACAAAATTCATAACACTTCCCTTCCACTAATTTAAAAGAACCATCATTCATCAAAACCAAGAAAACAAATACTCTTTAATGATGAGTTTTAGTTTCTTGGGTGCAATTCCAGTGTCAGGATTAAAAAAACACAGTAAAGAATAGCTAGAAATAGCAATTAGAACTCTTCTGAAAAGATAGATTAAAATAGGTGGAAATCCAGCAAAACAGTAGCAAACTGAAACGCATACGATCGCAATAATGTGTAGTTTCGTTCATTCGACACGATTAAGTGGTGAAAACATGCAAAACTCACAACTATAGTCTATAGACGAAGAAAATCAAGCAACATAGAGGATCAAATCATACGTGAAATTTATATCTTAAGAAAAAAGAGAAGCAAAACAAATTGCATCTAATGAAGTTTGAAGCATTGATCTGATTCCGATTCTTAAAAACATTAGAAAACATCACATTAAGAAACGGAATAATCAAATGAAAATAGAGTAAGCATACAACCATTACCATACAGCGATATCGCCATGAAAGTTCTCAATGAAAACCATCTGTACGGACAAAACTACAAAAAGAAAATAAAAAGAGGAATCATTATCAAAATGAAGACGAAAACAACGAAGAAAACAGTGAACAAGAAGAAGAAAAGGAGATAGATCTGATTTTTCGAACCAAAATCGAAAGGTACTGTACGCGTGAATCATCAACTTCGTCATAATGTAGAGAGAGAAGAAAATATCATCGCCAACTTACACGAATGACGAACCATTGTTTATGTAAACATAAAAAATCATTGGATAATTTATATGTTTAGTATTTAAATTATTAATTTTAATCTATTTTAATATCTAAAATTTCAGTTTTGAAATTATATCTAATAATTTTTATTTTGTTTTAATACATTATCATTAAGTTTAATGGCTGATATGTATGTGACATCTTTCTTATAGGTAAATTGTATCATTTATCACTTATTTTTTTACTCTTATTTTGGTCATTAAAATTTAAATTTCTTTTAATTTAATTACTTAACTTTCAAATTACTCATAATTTAATCACTCTAACTTTTAATTTTTTATTTTTAATTAAATATTAATGAAATAATAATAAAAATGTCATGTCACAAAATTATTAATAAAATAAATTATAGTGATTAAAATATGAGGAATTTAAAAATTAAATAGTTAAATTAAAAAAATTAAACTTTAACACCAAAATAAAAATGAGAAAATAGCTAAATATTTAACTACAATATATTAGAATAAAACAAAACTTAAACTTCAAGTATAATTTTAACAATATTGATAGTTTAATTATTAAAAAATTAATAATTTAAGTATTAAACACATGATTTACTCAAAATCTTTTTATATTTTCTGTACACATAATTAGGTGCATTACGTGTAGTTGTACATTTGTCATTTCTCTAATTGCCCAGATTTAATTCATAATTTCTTAAATATACATTTTTTAATTTTATTCTTTTAATAATTAGGGTATATATAAAATTATATATTTTAAAAAATTAATTAATTGATAACTGAAGCCGCAAAAATGAGAATGTTTCAATAGACATGTGGTAGGACTCTATGGGACATGACACCAAACTCTGCTATTAGGATGTCCTTGGGGTAGTGACTGTATCCGAAAAATTGAGGGAGGGAAGACTACGGTGGTTTGGGCATGTACTTAGGCGACAATCGTCGGATGCGGTCAGGAAGGTAGAGTCGATTATAGTCTACGGTGCCAGAAGGAGAGGACAACTAAGGTGGAAGTGAGAATACTGCTTGAGATCTGATTTGAAGGAATTAGCCCTTACCGAGGATATGACCTCTGATAGGAAAGTATGGAGACTTAAGACCAGGGTAGCCGAATAGTGCGGTTCACAGCCATAGGTTTTAACTTCTCTGTCTTCTTTATAATGAATTTGTAGTAATTTCTATGACTTATACTTTATACACGTTTCTGTCATTAGAATGTATGAAGGCTTAGAACCAGGATAGTGGAGTAGTGTTGCCTTAGTTTAGGTATTAATCCATTTGACTTTATTCCTTCTCGTAGCTTGCTATCGTTGATTTCTGTGTATCATTCTCTTCAGGTTTCCTCTTTTTAAATTTAGTCGGGTCGTACGTTTCAATCTATATGCAGAAATTTCTACACATGTATTTACTGCAGGCATTACTTCTCAATACAGACGCGCATATGAAGACTGCATATGGAGACTGCATATGGAGACTGTTCAACTATGTATTTATTTATTTATACATGCATTGCATTTTATCTTTATTTTTAATTTTCTGACTGCCGGAGGTCTTCCACGGAAGCTGCTCTCAACTTGACGTTGGGGTCAGCCTACTACCTACCTCCCCTTACCCTATTAAATATAAGAATAGGGTTTTGTTGTTGTGTTGTTGTTGTACATATTATATATTCATTAATAATATCATAAATTCGAGGATTGATCCAATAAATAATATCATAAATTGATGATAAATTCATAAACATGCTTTTGAACGTATTTACGAAGACTAAATTACTTACCACATGAGAATCAAAAGTTAAAATATCATCACAAGTGAAATTAAGAGCACCAAAGAACAATTTGACACATTTTAATATAACTTGTCGATATCTTTCTTAATATAACTTGTCGATATCTTTCTTAATAATATTGATATTGAAATCGATACAATTTTAACTATTAAAATTTTTGAAATCGTATGTACGATAAAATATTGATTTTAGGGTTATTTTTATCTTTATAATAAATCTAATGTATCATTTTTGTCCTTATGGCTTTTTCATCAATTTAGTCATCGAAGTTATTTGAAGGCATCAGTTTATCTTTTGAAGTCTGTTTTGACTAACATAACCTTTGGTATTATGTGTTTTTTGACACCAATAATTTACATGTTAGTCAATATTACTGACGTGACTTGGTGATAACGCGACAATATTAAAAAATAAGTAATAAAATATTTATTAAATACAACGATTAGAAAAAAATCCTCAAAAATTTGACATAATCCCTGAATATCACTTAAATAAATAATGAAATTTTAGATTTTTTTTCCTAATCGTTGTGATTAGTAAATATGATAACCTAACCTTTTAATCCACAAGCACAAAAGACTCATAGTTTTGTTAGTCAAAACAGTTAACGGACTTCGAGGATGCCTCTAAACAACTTCGAGGACTAAATTGATGTAAAAAAACTATAGGAACGAAAATGATAAATTGAGTTTGTAACACTCTAAACATGAATGGGCCTAAAGTGTCACATTGGGTCGCCGAGGCAACCCCTGATTTTCAAAACCTATTTATTTTCATTTCAACATGTTGAATGGTATTATAAAAGACATAAATAACAATTATAAAACATTTTATAAACCAGAGCGCAATGACACATAATTTAAAAATCAAAATAATAAAACTTTGAGTTATAAATATGAATACAATAATAAGGGTCTTATGAAAACATTCTAACATTGAGTTTACAAAACCCATAATATAATCGCTAATCTAGAGCAGCATTATGGGTTTCATAAACATAAGCATGCTAAAGACATGGTACTAATATGAGTTTCATAAACATAAGCATGCTAAAGACATGGTACTAATATGAGTTTCATAAACATGAGCATGCTAAAGACATGGTACTAAGTAGTAGATACATGCATGATCTTAATCTAGTGCTACCTACTTAGGGTTTAACTATTCTATCATTGAAGAAAGAGTTTCACGCTTCCCTTCATCCTCTGCTAAGGGTCTCGCCGTGAGTATACATCTAAAGGGATTCTAACCCTAATGACTATAACTGTTAAGCATTATCTAATTGAAACACTGATACTCTTGTGCATTATCTGAATGCAACACTGATTTTACTGTGCATTGTCTGAATGCAATATTGACTAGTATATAGTCTCACATAGCCATCAGACACTAGTTAATTGAGGGAACCTGACATCGCATAGCATCGATGAAATTTTCACTAAGTTGTTGAATGATCTTTTGGTCCTTACATAGCTATCGGGTAGATCATTAAGGGAGAACCCGATGACACATAACATCAGTACAATTCTCGCTCAACTGAATTATTGGCTCGGTCTCACATAGCCATCAAGTCAAGCTTTAAGGATATATGTTGTATTGGATTGATGCAACTATACATGCATATCTAAGGGCCAGAAGCCACACAACACTGACATTGCTAACCCACTTTTTGGCTAGTACACAGGTCGCAAAGCTAGATTGATAGTTGAGATAAGTTTGCTTGATTAAGTTGTATCTATTTCTAGTAGAACTTGTTTGTTCCCATTTTAAATTTCAGGCTTATGAATCTTATTGGATTTTTATTTCTTGCATTTTAGTGCAATCATATTTCTTCATAAACTTAGGAACTTATACCACCTGGTTTGTTTCTTCACTAATATTGATTGTCTAGAAGGTAAACTGTTAATTTTGATGCTTCTTCCGAGTTTGTGTAGTTTCTCACCTGCTTTATCAACTCTCTAAAAGAGAAAAAGTGTCATATGGTGTTATTATTTTACTGCAGATGTTACCTGTCGCAGTTACATGTGGTAATACCTTTATTTTAAAGCCATCAGAAAAAGATCCTGGTGAGTGCAATGATCTAACTGTTATGGTGTAGAATCCGAGACTTTGCTTTTACTCATTTTGTTGTGATGTGTTCATTCTTAGTGGACAACTTGGTTATTCTTTTTGTCCTTACATGACTTCACTTTACTCTCTAATTCTTCCTTAAAATGTTATTTTTATGCTTTCCAGGGGCATCCATGATGCTGGCTGAGTTGGCAATGGAAGCTGGTCTTCCCCATGGTGTCTTAAATATAGTCCATGGCACCAATGTATGTTCTTCACTAACACGATTTTATGGTATCCAACAGTTCTGTTTATCATTTTCCTGATAAATGCATGCGTTTGCAAGTTGCAATCCGTTAAATGTCTCTTTGAATATCAAAGTAATGACTTTTCTGTTAATGCACAGTGTGCATTACCCTCTGCAGTCAATATCTATAAATACACACACGCACATTTGTGTGTATATATATATATTTTTCTTCATGGTTGTATGGATGGTATAAATGTTAAATGTTGCATTGAGTTAATTTTACCTTACATATTCCAATATATTTTGTTGTGGCAGGACATTGTTAATGCTATTTGTGACGATGAAAATATCAGAGCCATATCATTTGTTGGTTCCAATACTGTAAGTATGCCTTTTGTATCCAAAGCACACAGATGGGTATATTTCACTTGGGATCTAAGTATATTAAACTTGATTATTGTCTTGTTGTTGATGCTACTTGCAGTAGTAGCCTAATGTAACAATTTTGTGAAGTACCAAAGGTTCTTTGGTCAATGCAGTACCCAATATGAAAAACTGATGATTTACGTTACCCATTTCCATTTCTTGGCTTCACATTTTATGTCTTCAACGAAGTAGGTGTTACTGTTTGGTTCTCCCAGGATCTGCTCTTCACATGTTCTGCACTTTGGATGGTTAAATTTTAACTCTTCCTTTCTCTAGTGATTCCCTATGGTTTTTTCAAGATATCAACTATTTATCATGTTAATTTTCTCCTGCCCCATCCGCCTTTGCATAAATTGTATTTTTTTTTGTACTTGGTAGGAAAGTTACCATGCCTATTGCTGTTGTGATTTGACTGTGATGATGTCTAGTTTCTGTCCTGGACTTCTTATTGCAATTCATGAAAGGTCATTGATGTTTCACAAAGCAGTTCAATATGTTGGTTATATTCTTCTTGATGTTTTTTTTTATTTTCTAAAGGCTGGCATGCACATATATGGAAGAGCTTCTGCTAAAGGAAAACGTGTACAGGTAAAGTGCATTTAACTTGCATTGGTAAGCAATACACAATATATCTCCTAGTGACAGGATTAGTTCTGTTAAGCTACCATATTTGGCATCAGTTAACTTTACAATTTGCAATTTCCTTACTTAAGGTTGGTCTCTCCAACTTGCCGATTGATAATAGTTTGGATGCTGAGCAACTTCTATGACTATCTAAAGTTGAACTAAACTTCCTTCTTAATAATTATTCTTCTCAGTCTAACATGGGGGCTAAAAATCATGGCATTGTCATGCCTGATTCAAACAAGGAAGCTACGCTAAATGCTCTACTTGCTGCTGGTTTTGGTGCTGCCGGGCAGAGGTGCATGGCACTTAGCACAGTAGTCTTTGTTGGTGACTCAGAAACCTGGTATTGTGTTTTTCCTCCCATATTGTTGGAATTTTTTTAAGCTACGATTAAGGGGGATCCTGACCTTTTCCTGGGTGAATGACCTGGTAGAACGTGCCAAAGGTCTTAAAGTTAATGCTGGAATTGAACCTGATGCGGACCTTGGTCCAGTTATTAGCAAAGAGGTAATGTGTGTTTCAGATATTTCCCACCTTTTCTGCACTACCTCTGGCACAATACTAGAAATCATTCCTAAACTTTTTTCTGACATTGAAATGCCCTATTTCTCTAGGAGGACAATATAAACTCTGTTATTTATCATAGGCCTACCTGTATCAAGGTCTCAGGTTCATCACAGGGTTGCCCATTTTTGTAGTGCAGATCTTTCTTCCTTTTTATCTTATCTTTCATCCATACACCTTTTCTATTGCCAAAAAGAAAGAGTAATCTAGATAGCTACAAGAAATGACACAATAAGAACTTTCAAGCACAGACGATGCAAGGATGAGCTCCGGCCACTCATCATGATCAGGTTATTGAAGGCTACTGGTATAACATATTATTAGAAGAATCAAAAACACTGACTGGAAGCTGGGATTTCCAGCAAAAAGTTGGAGCCTGAGTCAACTTGAATCTATCTAGGAGGATGGGAGCTAATCACACCAATTGTGATGCCCTTTTTAATGCTTTCGATTCATTCTTTTATTTGTTTGGATCCTTGATGTTTATTTATTTATTTTTCATTGGAATCCTTTTGCATTCACAGGCTAAAGAACGAATATGCAGATTAGTTCAATCAGAAGTCGATAGTGGAGCCAAACTACTGCTTGATGGGAGAAATATTGTGGTATTTAATGTTTCGGCCATATTCATTTTCTCAACCACTTTTCACTTTTGGCATCATATAGATTGTAGCGTATTCCCTCTTCAATATTGAATAATCCTTTCATAAAATCGTTGGATATTTGGAACCACTTAAAAATTGATTTGTCTTGGGTCTGTTGGCAGTAGAGATTGTTAGGACTTTGTTTCCCTGTTGATAACTAGATTTTCAAACTTTCAACAAAAACATGTTACTAACTATCTATGAGTGACAAAATAGGTTCCGGAATATGAGAAAGGCAATTTTATTGGTCCCACAATTTTGTCTGATGTCACAGCTGACATGGAGTGTTATAAGGTATTCATTTCTGTTCATGATTTGTAATGCATTTTTAGATTGTGATCCATAAAATACCAGGAGTGGGTGGGTAAAATGACTTCAACATTCATATAAGATACCTGACTACTCTATTTCGGTCTGTGCAGGAGGAAATCTTTGGCCCAGTTCTTATTTGCATGAAGGTGGGTTACTTCCTGTTTCTTCACTGATCATACTTTTTCTTTCATAAGTATTGCCAACTATTTCTTCTTTCATTCCCCATGTTCAGGCTGACAGCTTGGACGACGAGATAAACATTGTTAATCGAAACAAGTACATCCTGAATCAGACTTCATCTTTTGGTCCTCTTTAAGTTACATGTTCATGTTTGTTTTACTTGTGAGTTGTGCTCTGTTTCAGATATGGTAATGGTGCTTCTATATTCACTAATTCCGGTGCTGTAGCAAGGAAATTCCAGACAGAGATCGAAGCTGGGCAGGTAAAACTATCGGTGAAATATAGTAGGATATATCTAAAATTGTTCAGAGCTGCAAGTAGATAACCTATAAAAGTACCCGTTCCGAAACACATAAGATCAAAGATGATTGCTTTGTTGCCTGTTAAAGTTCATATCATTAAGTTGCTTTGATTATATTCAGGTTGGCATCAATGTTCCCATACCAGTTCCCTTGCCGTTTTTCTCGTTTACTGGCAGCAAGGCATCTTTCGCGGGTGACCTTAACTTTTACGGTAATATATACATTATCACTAACATGGTTCTTCAACTCACCATCCGCCGATACCCCCCTCCCCCCCATTTTTACCGGACTTTATGACTTGGAAACTCTTTAATTGCAGGGAAGCCTGGCGTTAACTTTTTCACCCAGATTAAGACAGTGACTCAACAATGGAAGGATTTACCTAGCGGAGTTTCCCTAGCGATGCCAACATCGCAGAAGTTGTAATCATGATGTCGGATTGTTCTGTCAGGAGTTCCTGTCCAGGAAAATGGGGGCAAATTGCTGAAAATTGTTTTGAGGGGGGTAATAATGTTTCTTAATGTTGAAGTAAAACTAGTACTGTCTTCAGAAAAAACGATGGTTTGTTGAGCTTCTCTTCATTTATGTAAGGCTGAAGCATTTAAATTATGGTTGCAGACACATTTTCCTTCTCATTGTGTTTGTAGTGGTTGAGGATAAAGCATTTTCATTTTAAACTATCATAAAAACTACTTCTGGATGATAAATTTCTACATCACATGCTGAAAACTAAAAAAACCCTAAAGTAGAAAAAGAACTTTAATCGAGATGACGTGTTTTGCAAGTTTTATGGTTGTGGAGACTTGAAGCTCGACTCAAGTAAGTTTGCTTATTTGAAGATTATTCAGCTTCTGAATCTGGGCTAAGTGCTTCCTTCCCCAGAGATGACAGTTCAAGTCCTCCGATCGACTGCAGGTTACGTTGCATATGGTGCACCAAAATTGAGGAATTGTAGTCTCACCATCTTCCTTTCCAACCTGTAGCTGCCCTTGTACTTTTTCACTTGATTTTACTTGACTTCCCGCCATGTTAGTCGTCGGTAACGACTTCTCTGATTCCTCTTTCGGCAGATGAAATTCGCCTGTCTCGGGTTTAGGATTCACTGCCCTGTAGCATGTGTATGCAATATTGCTGGGAAGATCAGAGTTCATAGGCGCCACTGAAGCAGCAGCAGCAGATACTTGGCCTTTGGGAGGTTTTTGCTTCTTTTGGCTTCCCTGAATATTACTGCTTGAGCCGTGTTTCAGAGTTTCCTTAACCGCCGAACCCGAACCAACATTGCCTTTGCAAGGCTGGTTCTTTGCTTTCGTTAACCTCTCAGATGCATTCATGTGTTTCCTTCCTTGTAGATGGATATTCAATGTTCTCACTTTTGACTTTTACTAGACACATAGCACAAGTCCACTCCTTCTGAACTTGCTTATCCGAAGGTATCTCGGTAAGATCGAAACCCGCTTCTCCGTTGATTCCCGGAAGCATAATCGCATCATTCACTGTCTTAACAGCATCGGGTCCGGTTGCCTGCAACTGCAAAAGTAATTCAAGTCAGCATTCCTAATCAAAAAGTTTGTAGAAGAAAATGGAGAACTAGGCAATGCATAAAAGCCTAATTCTCATGCATATTCGAAGTTTCGAGTCATCCTGAAACAGAGATTCTTCTTTCACTCGGGAAGTTCTCGTATATGATGACGCATTTCCGAAGAAAAACAATACAGAACTTTACCGGGTTCGCCAGAGCAACTTCTCTTCTCTCTGTTGCTTGGACAGGTTTTATATCTTTCTGCAATACGCTAGGCTCAGTCCCCTTTGGCTACATTGTGAAACACAACGATATTAGATCATATAGAAGACTCATAAGTAGGGATATTCATTATTCGAATTTAACTGCATTAATCGAATGAACCGAAATGTGTGTCCGACACATATTCAAACATAAATGTATACCTCTTTAGCTTCAGGTGATCCATGTGGCTTGACACATTCATGAGCTGCTTCAGCAAGAAAATTGTAGCTCAAAAAGAACTCTTGCAGCTTGCTTAACTAGTTAATGATGGTTGGCAAATCAATACACACACATGGGTGAACAAAGTGGTCGTAGACGTAAAGAGCACCGTCGAAACGGGGTATCGTCATCCAGCAGATGATCGTTAGCTTCGTGTACGGCCAGAACGGCAGCCATTGAAGGATTCCAATGAAAGCATGTTCGAACAGGCAAATCAATGAGAAGATAATCCAGTAGGTAACCAGTCTCTTGGTCTCAGTGTTGGAATTAGCCTCGAGTGCTTGAACGGAAGCACGTCTGTCAATAAGGCAAGGAAACACAATCAACCATTTTCATATAAATATATGGCTTAAGGGTTACTTTTGTCCTCATAGAAGATCTAATTTATCATTTTCGCCTCTGAGATATTTTATCATCAATTTAGTCCTTGAAGTTGTTTAATTACTTTTGTCCTAAGGCTTTAAATACGTCTAAGGTTGTAAAACTCGAAAACTTGAAGGACTTCTTCAGGTTATGAAACTCCAAAAACTTTAAACAATGATCACAGAGACGTGACTTTCGGAGAAATCTAGTAATGCATTATACATATAATTAAATATTTTAACTATGCCATGAGAAGATATGTTAAGAATACTTACAGAGGATAACCCAAAGCAAAGAGGGGCCTGCAAAGAAAATGTAAAAATTATTAAGAAATCCATGAACCCATCAACTTCCTAAGAGAAAAAAGGGGGAGGGTTAGCGTGAAAAATAAAAGTGAAAAGAAATTACCAAGCAAGAGAATCGAAGCTTATCAATGCAAACTTGACAAGAGCTTGGAAATCCATCATGGATTCAAGGCTTCGAAGCTCAAGTACAAGAGAAAACCTCTTGGAGTAAGCAAACACCAGGTAAAAAAAAACACAAAAGGTAAAAGTACACAAATGGTCCCCGACTATAAGATACTACTTTATTAAGTCCCTTGACTATTACAGTTACAAAATGATCCCCTAATTATAGGGAGTTGCTTTGATGAGTCCCTTGACTATTAAAAGTTTCAAATTAGTCCCTCGACTATTCAATTTGTTCCAAACTCATCATTTTTTTGTTAAAAAAGAAATTGTCGTCTAAACTGGACATTAACATGTTGACTGAGATATGATAATCATTTAAGGTTATGAGATCAGATTTTATCATATCTCAGTCAGTAGGTTAACGTAAAGCTCATGTTGTCATCAAAATTTTAACGGAAAATGATGAGTTTGGAACATAATGAATAGCCTGGTGACCATTTTGTGACTTTTAATAGTCAATGGACTCAATAAAGTATTATCCTATAGTCGAGGATCATTTGTGTATTTTACCCTGAAATTTATAATTTAATCTCCATCTTATTTTATCTTTTGAAATTTAGTTATTTTTTTAATTTGAAAATATTGGTATCTTTCTTAACTTATATTTAATTTTGTTGTTAATTGAAGACCTTACAATTAAAAAAAACAACTTTTAGTCCCCTGACCCTTAATATTTGAAAATAAATAAAAACATCGTTAATTGAATAATATGTATTTTTAATCATTTATGTTTATAGTTGTTAATGATCAAATTGAAAAGTTGTGAACTTAGAGGACTACAACTTATTTTTACATTTTGTATAACAATCATGTCAGTTCTCAATGGTAAAATTGAAAGAAGTTAGAGGGACTTAGAAAATCAAATAAAAATAATTGAAGGACTCAAATTTGAAATAGTACAAAGACCTATGACATATTTAAACCAAAACAAAAGCTTAAACCTACAGTTTTACTGAAGATCTGATCTGGTGGCTTTAACAACTTTATTTAGCTTAACGTGGAGATGACTATCCAGCTCAGTTGGTAGAACACAAGGTTTTTAATCTTGAGGTCGTGAGATCGAGTCTCATGATTGACATTTCATAATTCGGAGGTCTTCTACACATGGAAACAAGGGACAATCATTTAGCTTAACGTGGAGAGTAACTCCACTCGTGACAGCTGAGTTCGAAATTCGACAATCCAATTTTAAGGTTAAGGAATGACTAAATAAAAAATATTTAAAAAAACATAATATTTTCAATTGAGTATAATTTAAAATGTTAAAAAATTAATATTTTTGATTAAAATAAATATAGTGTAGTTTTTTTTAATATTTTTTAATCTTCAATTAAATTACCGTCTCTTAAACATCTCTTACTAAACACATATATGCACACGTGCGACAACCATAATATACGGCTAAGGAAATATGATATCGATTTTGTTATTAGTTTTTCGGTAAAAAAATATCTAAAACATTATTATTTCTATCGATTTTATTATTATTGGACGTTTTACCGATTTTGTTAACATATCGGTAAAGCGTTACCTAAAATATTAATTTTACTACCGGTTTTGTTATTATTGGGCACTTTACCGGAAATATTAAAAAACATTAATGTTTTAGGTAGAAATAATAATGTTTTAAGTAAATTTTTTACTATAAATGTTATAAAAAATAATAACAAAACCGATAATATCTTTACTTAGACATATATATTAAGACTGCCGCACGATATAACTCTCCGGTTATACCAGAATGCTCGTACGGATAAAAGAAAAAGACATGGTGGTGGTCGGCACTCGGCATGTTGAAAAATGAAAATCGTTCCTTAACACCTGCAATTGCATTGTTATATGAAAAAGTTCAAGCAACAAACGATAAATAAGTATAACTGAAAATGCGACAAAAAGTAATATTAAAATTTAAAATATTCTAAATTCGTCGTTTCTCATTAAAAAAAAATTAATGTGAGTCCGAGTTAGGCGTTAAGATTTGGTTGAGATATAGTAATCTTTTGAGACTATGAGATCATATTTTATCATATCTTAGTCAGTAGGTTAACGTATAACTCAGACTGTCGTCAGAATATTAATGAAAAATAATGAGTTTGAAATATAATATACAATCAGATGAACATTTTGTAACTTTTAAAAATCGAGTCTCTCGATAAAATAACTTGTTATAATCAAATTACCATTTTAGATTAGTTAACCAGTGCTCTTGGATTATATGAATGATCATTACTCTAACGCAAATAACAAGTGCCCTAAAATAATTGAAAAAGAAAATAAAATATTCCACCCCTTTTGGTCAAGGTTACAACCCTCATATGATCAACTAATTTAATCTACGACTTAATTAATTAATTAATTTAATTGTTAAGATTACAAGCTTCATATGATCAATTAGTTTAATCTACGAATTAATTAATTAATTCAATAGATCGATGGACTTAGTAATAAAAATATGGGTAAATTATACGTTTAGTACCTGAACTATCAGTTTTGATCTGTTTTAATGCATAAACTTTAATTTCTATTTCATTTTAGTACCCGTTGTTAAAAACTTTAGTTTTTGTTTCATTTAAATATGCCCATTTGAAATTTTACGTTAAGTTTTGAAAAAATTGAAAATTTATGTGCTAAAACGGACAAAAACTGATAATTTAGGTACTAAATACGTTAATTTTTTAACGATGAGTATTAAAATTAAATAAAAACTAAACATTAGGTAAATTATTCATTTTATAGAACCTCTAACTAAAGATAATTGCATTTAAAATTAAAATATATAAATATCGAAGATTCAACTAAAATTTGTTTATAAATATTTTAAAAAATAAAGTAAAAGAACTGAAAAGGAGTATATATCATTTATATATAACTTAAAAATAAATTAATAGAATATATGTATTAAGTTTTAAGATATACTAAAATTTAATTTAGTAGCGTTTAAAATAATTATAAATAATTATACTTTTATTAGTTTCAGTAAAAAATTATTGAACAAAAAATAGATAAAATAATAAATAGTAAAAAAATTATTGAACAAAAGTAAATAAATAAGTGACCATTTTTCAAATAATGGGGAGTGAATGACTAGAATGTTTTTCGAATAAAAAATCTATTAGGTCCTTTTAATTTTAAAAAATAAATAAATTTATTTTTCTAAAAAAAAACTAGCCTTTCACGTTTTTATATTATGTTATTTTGGTCTTAACTCTAAAAAATCAAGGCTAAAGTGCACAAATAGTCTCCAACTATAAGATAATGTTTTATTGAGTCATTTGACTATTGAAAGTTACAAAATGATCTTTCAACTATAGAGAATTATTTTGTTTAGTCACTCGACTATTAAAAGTTATAAAATGGTCATTCGACTATTTATTATGTTCTAAACTTATCATTTTTTTCAAAAATTTAACATCCTAAATTGCACGTTAACATGTTGAATGAGATATGATAATCGTTTGAGATTATGAGATCATATTTTGTCATATCTCAGTTAGCATGTTAATGTACAACTCAAAATACCGTCAAATTTATAACAGAAAAGGACAAGTTTGAAACATAATGAATACTCAAATGATCATTTTATAATTTTTAATAGTCAAGGACTTAGCAAAGTAATTCTCTATAATCAGATGATCATTTTGTAACTTTTAATAATCAAATGACTCAATAAAATAATATTTTATAATCAGGGGACAATTTGTGTACTTTACCCAAAAAAAATAATTTTAGTCTTCGATATTTTATACATGCTTAATTTTGTAAAATCGAAATTAAATTAACATAACTTGGGAACATTATAAGTTAAATTTATTATTATATTAACCAGAATCGACCCTGATCCGAACCTGAAACGACTGATAATGAACCGTATCGACCACGATCCGATGCAATTCGATCATTTATAGTTGTCGAGAAGACGATGAGCAGAGGATTGTGTCGAGAAAAAGATCGAAACAAACTGCCATTTCAGCAGACATGGAAAAAAATTTCTAACATAAACACTCGAGTTTTGTTGTTCTTGTTACTCCAAAGTTACAGACACTGATTAGGCTTTATCTTGCAACCTTACGACTCCGCAATTCTTTACATAATGAGCGAAACGATGAAAGACCATATATATACGGTTGTCAAACGAACCCCTTTTTTACAACAAGGTTTGACATCTGTGCCTACCATCCAGCTAGTAACATAGCACTCACCGTAATCGATGGAACCAGCCGCTCATCTTTCGGCGGTGACGGTGGAGTTATCTCCGTTCGATGAAGATACAACATCTGTAGGTGCAGTCACAGCCTCCGCGTCGTTAGCTTCAGCATCGCTCTGATGAACACCCCGTGAAGTAGCACGATTTAATAAGACTTATAGACTAATTTGGGAAATAACTCGATGAAAACGAGTGATGAATAGCTATGATCGATATTGGTTTATGAGTTGGCAATACCTGCTCGGTGGTCTTCGCAGTCGGATCTTGGATTGCTGTAGTGGATATCTTAGAAAGGTCTCTCAAAACACCCTGCAAATCAGTAGTTCCCAATTGACTAAACCAAAGAAATTACAAAAGATTATGGAAGATTTTTCACTTTCTGAGAGATGGGTTGTTTTCTGCAAGTTACTATCTTCTAGTACGAAACAAGAATCTCGATGTTAATTTTTCTTAAAAATTTTGATTTTATTCCCTGCCCTCGTCTAAGAACGTTACGAGATCATTCTGTTTGATCTTTGGATAAGAAACTTGGGCTTTTGGAAAACTTTTAAGGTTTGCTTCATTATGCACCCAAGAAAGATGCTTTTCCTATGGTTCCGATCTAAGAAGCTCGAGCCACTGATAGCAAACCTATAAGGCCAAGAAAGATTGCCTGTCCTCGTTAAGAACAGCACGAGATCGTTATGTTAGATTATTAGATAAGAAGCCTAGGCTTTTGACAAACTTTTAAGGACTGCTTGATTATTCACCCAAGAAAGATGCTTTTCCTATAGTTCCGATCTAAGAAACTCGAGCCACTGATAGCAAACCTATAAGGCCAAGGATGGTTAATGGCTTCCCCTCGCCACAAGTCATACTCCAGAGATGTGATGTTCTAACAATCGCATGGATTTATCATAATCTTGTGCGAGTAAATATCATTAGAATCACAAAGAACACATGATTATCGAAAAGTGAGTGGACTGTCAACCATCACGTGATATGATCTCTCGAGCCTGCATGCAATCAAACGAGGAATAGACTTATGAAAGAACTATTTTGTGATTTCACAAACCTTATTTGCCCACTTGAGTCCGCAAGCATTACAAAGAGTCCTTGGACCAGCAGGTCCACGCCGCATCATAGGGGTGGACTTAGAACTGATTCCGCAATGCCTACATCTACACAGAAAATTTACACCAAACAATAGAAATTAAAGAAGATATCTACAGAAGTCCCTTCTATTAGCACACAACAAACGATAGCTGGAGTACGATCTCGAAACTAACATCGTTAAGCGAGGTCTAACACCAATCCAGTTATAAATTGAAAGAGAAATCCGATCATAGGAAAAGCTACTCACAAAGTTTCTTGCTCATCTTGTCCAGAACCTGGCGTCCCATTGGAGCCCGAAGAGGCTGAGGCCACTTCATCAGAAACCGCCTTGGTTGATGTGAACTGCCCCTTGTTACGTTGCATCCTGACAAACAACATCTAGTATGCTAGAAAATGGCTTTAAAAAACTAGCTCCAAGTGGGAAAAGTAGAGGAATCGATCATCTGAATACCTGAGAGCCACTTCTTTCCGCACGGTATAGCGGATTTTCTTATCAAAGCAACGTTCTTTCCTCTTCTGCCTGAACCGATTTAAAGAAGCAGCCCTCTGTGGTTGAACCGACCTCCCAGTAAAGTCACTCATGCCCTAGAAGAACACAATAAAAGTACAAAACATGAAACGAAACACCTCCCTAACAAATTCGTGATGAGATAGCCGGAACCATTAATCGAATATATACCCTTTGACTAACAGGAACTGCCCCCATTGTAGGAATGCCTGAAGGGATTTCATATCCACCTAGAAGTAACAATACCGCTTGTACCTGAAAAAGACCAAACACAAAGAATTACACCATCAATGCTACATAAGAACACGAAGAAACATCATAAACAAACGCACAGCATAACAAGCAGACAAGCTAAACCTGATTTAGACAAAGAAACTGTATGTAAATTGAGGCGAAATGGAACAGGATCTTTCTTCCCCACAACAAAGATGCAAAAACCAATGATTTTTAGCTAAATTATTATCACTAAAACACAAAAGGGTCGCTAAATAATTCACCAGATTAACGAATAATCTCACTAATTATTCCAATCAACCTTAACCCAGATGCAAAAGGCAACGAACCTTATCAGGAGAAACCGAATCAAACACATAGACTTCCCCCCGGAATGAGAGGGCAAGCTGATCAGCGCCGGCATTACCGGAACCACCGGGCAAATCGGACCCTTTACCATAAATATGGGCATGGGAAGGTTCTTCCATGCCATTATTCATAACAGTAAGAACGCCTCTGCTTTCTTGGTATCCGATCTGAGGGTTATCCACCGATTCTTCCACTCCACCGCCTCCCTCGCCGCCTCCTCTAGGAACGTCATCGTCTTGCTCTTCTTCCATGTTCTGTTGTAAGTTCATGGCATCCGAATCGAACATGGATATCTGCTGGTGGTTCAAATTCGCCATTCCTTTTGCATCCGAATTATCACAAACTTTTGACTATAAAATCTTAAAAAGAGGGGGGAATCAATAATTAAAGAAGCATAAACGAATTGAAAACTTTGGGTGAAACTATTTTTATTGAAAAATAATAAATTTATTATAATTTTAAAAAATTGGGTTAAGGAAAATATTAATTCGAGTGAACCGGGAGGAGAAAGATGGAAGAAAGAGATTGGGAGAGGAAGGAGAAGAAAAAGGGTATGTTAAGACACGTGGAAGGGTACCTGAATAGATCAGATTGACGTGAGCAACCAAGGAATGACACTTTTTTTCTTTTCAATTTGATCCAGATAATTATTCAAGAAATATATTTTTCAATCTTAAAATATATATACTTTTAATATTTAAATTATTAATTTTGATCTCTTCTAATATTTAAATTTTTATTTTTTTTAAATCATTGATAATATTTAGTTTTTGTTTTATTTTAATACATGTCGTTCAAAATTTAATACATTTAATAGGCTTCCTCGCCCATGTAGGGCGTTGGAAAAAAATCTCATATAGGGCTCTAACCAAATTATTTCTTGAACTAGGATGTTTGTTACAGCGATCTCATTGGTCATCAAATGTTCCATAGGTTGTCAAGTGCTCCATGCGACAAAATATCCTCTGTTGCAGTAACTTTTTTTCTCTTCTCTCGTTGTTGCAGCTTCATAGGTCGCCAAATCCTCCATAGGTCGATGTGTCCTCCTGGAGACCTATAGTGATCACTGTAGCAATCACACTACTTAAGTAAATAATTGTTCGACTGCACTATGTGAAATTTTTTTCCATTGCATTATTCAACAACTTTTACCCATTTAGTATCTAAATTATCAATTTTGGTATATTTTAGTAAATAAACTTTCATTTTTTTCAAAAATTAATGTTAAATTTTGAATGAATGTATTAAAATGAAACAAAAATAAAATTAAGTATAATTGTTGAAAAAGTTAAAAGTTTAGGTACAAAACCATATGAAAATTGATAGTTTAGAAACTAAACGTGTAATTTACCCTTTAAAAAATAAGCTTTAATTTTTAAATTACGAATCCGTTAAAAATAGGGAGGATAAAAATATCCAAACCCGACATGTTTTTGAACCGACTCAACCCGACCAGATAGGGATGATTTTTTTTTTAAATTTCGGGGCTCGAGGCGAGGTGGGTGGGTTATATGGTATAAAATTTCGGGACAAGACGGAGGCAGTATTTAAGGTGAAAAATCACGAATTCTGCTCGACCCGATTAATTTATATATATATATATATATATATATATTAATAATTTTTATTTTTATACTATTAAAATATATTATTTTAATTATTTTTTTAAAAAATAATATATTTAAATCGAATCGGATCACGATTTTGGTCTAAAATTCGAGGTGGGTCCAAGATGAGAAAAAACCTAAAGTTCATCGAGGCAGAACGAGATTGAAATCGAATTTTAGATATATATTTTCAGGTCGGGATCGAGGCGAAAAAAATCTCGACCCGGCCATGCCCATCCCTAATTAAAAACTATTAATTTTTTAAATCACGAATCTGTTATGTCAAAATTGAATTTATTGAGTATATTTATTATTTATTTAAAAATAAAAAAATGAATTCAGTATATCAAATGACTTGATCAACATAAGAACATCATTTTAAAGAGTAACTTAATAATAAAATAATTAAAGTGAAAACAATTTTTAGAATATTTATCATTTTTATAGATTTTATAAATTATAATTTTTTTATAATTTTAAATTATTTGTTATGTATCTATATGTCACGAAAACAATTTAGTGTATGTAAATATATCATATTAATACTAATTATTGATTATGAATCAATTTATTATTTTCATTGAAATCTGATTAATTTGAACAAAAATAAAATATTAAGAATTAAATTGTGTATAAGTTAATAATAATAACAAGACTTAATGTAAACATAAATGTCTAAATTATATTGTTTTTTCTTAAATATGTGTCTAAATTTTTTAGTCAATCCAGTTATCCAACGTTACAAACGTTACCATTTTAGATGCTTAGATTGTAACAACTGTGAAAAATTCTGTTAAGTAACATGTGTGATGTTCTGGTCATTTTAAAATTATTTATTTAAAATTAAAAACATACTATATTTTTTTTATAAAAAATTCTAAATATTCTCAAATCTTAAAAAACCTCAAAACTTTTAAAACTCTAATTTTAACCCCTTTGTCATCGTTGACCGCTAATAATGGCATCAATTTGCCGAACACATAACGACATCTGACCAACCAATTATCTACGACCAAAACCCCTATACTTTCACAATCGATTAAATGCCCAACAACGATGTAAATGAGATATTTTATTTTAAACATTCAAATCCCTAGAAACTCCTTACATCGATCGTGATATTTGATTGTTTAATTGGATGTGACGATCGACCGTTTACTGTTTGGTCGATCGTGGTAGTCAGCAGTTAGGTTTATAAAATCTTGGCTAAACCTTCGACTCATCAAGTAAAAAAGCAATTGAAATAAAGTTGTTCCACCAACAAGAATCCACCTACGAAGCTTCTACATGATCTCTCCGTCACACATTGGCATGGCATTTTCTGCAATACCAACTTCTGCAAATAGCAATTACATCGGTTTGTCGATTGAACGATGCAGAAATGTCCTCATGAAAGGAAGAAGGCTAACACGTACTCTCGAACTCGATGTCATTATCGATGCCATTCGACTCGTGGGAACCTTCATTCAAGGTCGAGGAATATTCGGGTTTATCGGATTCGCCCCGTCGAGACGACACCTCAAACACCGGAAGAGGTTCATCAGCTTGTAGCCTGCTTATCCCTAATGATTCTAGAGGATCAATCAGCTTGTTAATAGTCGAACTCTCGAAATGCAACCGCGCGAGATGCATCCGAAGGCAAGTCAATAGCAATTTCTTCCCTGGTCTCTTCTGTTTCCTGGTTCAAGCAGGGGGGAAAAGAATCCAACAATTTCAGACCAAATTTCTCAATAAACCAAGAATCGTTGGTATTAAGGAAATAAGATTGACCTCTATAGGTGACATGGCATTTCTTTTACCATGTGTATCAATCTGCTGATAATTTCCATGGGAGAGCAGTCCTCCATCAAATCTAAAACTTCCCGGTCCGGAGTCTTTACGGCCTTGTCGAACCATCGGAGGTGATGCCACGAAGCTGTAAGGCCAACGCTTAAACCTAATAAATTTTAACTTTAAATCCATTAATATTTTAAAACCCAATTAATTTTAAAACCAAATAAAAATACTCAAATCAATTAAAGAAAATATAAACTTAAAATTATTTAGAAAAAAAAAAACTCTTCTCAAATATAATATTATTAGTTTTATGTTCGTTCATTTGTGTTCGTTTATCATTTTAATGATCGAACACGAACAATGTCAATTTCTTAATGAACGAATACGAACACAAAATTCAGTTCATTTAGTTGTTCATATCGGTTCGTTTATTCGATCAAAATTAAAAGAACGAATTGAAACGTATATTCATTCATATTCGTTTGGTTTGTTTACAAGCCTACTTCCGCAATAAGAAGGAAACAAACGTTACAAAACTAAAATATTAAATGAATTCTTGTAAACGGTCATTATATTAGTTCTTTTGTTCATCCATATATTTAAATTTGATATTTTTATAAATATATTTATAAATATTTATATTTATTTTATCCATTTATAATATAAATATTTGATTTAATTACTTTACATCTAAAATTAAAATTACATTCTTTTATGATTTCTATATTTTTATTTATAATTTATTATAATTGTTTACAAACATGTTGGATTATATTTTATGCACATATTTACAACATGTAAAAGAATATATTTAAAAAAAATTAATAAATACACTAACCTCCGTAATAAATGAATTATTATTATTATAAGAGAATTTTAATTATAAAAATACCAAACACAATTTATAAAATGATTCCAAACTGTTATATGTTTTAAATATTCTTAATCATTTGGCAATGAACGCTTAATCAACTTACTACAACTGTTGGTACTCGAACCCATGACCTCTAGAAACAACAATGATTCTTTTAACCACCGAGATAAGTTGATTTGTTCCACTTTGTAAATTAATTTAAATATATTAAAAGTAGATCAACTGAATGGAAATTTTATTAAACATTTTTTACTAATTATAATGAACAATATAATTTCATATTAATATAAAAATAAAATTTAATATTATTGTATTTTATCTAATTATTTTTATTTAATTTTAGTATAATATAAATAATTAATAATTTAACTGCAAAAAAACATGAGAGACAATAGGATTCCTCGACTGTGTTTTCTTCTTCCTTTTGCATGAAAACAATCATATTTGAAGAGCTTAGAGCCTCATTCGTCTTCAGCTGATGCACTGGCAGCACTTAGGTCCACAGATAAATCAAGAACCTGTATACCATCACATTAATCAGAAATTATCATATTCGAATTCGAGCTACATTTTCGAGATTTAATTCTGAAACAAGAGAGCATAGAGACGCTTCTAACTCCGTCCCTGATCATAATAATATACTCGAACATATAGTATATATGTATATGTATATGAACTCAAGAACATAACCTTTCCAGTGATCTTACTATACATCTCCATCACATCATTCACAGTGGTTCAAAGTGAGTGGTTGAGTCATAGCTCTGCAAGAATTTTTCAAGACTCGGATCAGGAAGATTGGGTAGTCCTATATATATATATATATAGAGAGAGAGAGAGAGAGAAATCTTCTTACAGCAGAAATGAAGCAGTTGTCGGCTGAATGATTGTTGGTCGGAACGTATCGGTCGTAAGTGTCATAGAATATCTCATCGACGGTTCCCAGAAGGTCGACACCGGGCTTCAGCTCTGCCTCGGGGTTGTCGGTCTCGGCTTCTGCCGAGACGAAAGCAATGTACTTTCCTTTCGGAGCCACATTATGTGCATAAGAGCAGCAAAAGAGGTACCTGCATGACCAAAAATGACACAAATGAGTATATGAGCTACATTATAGCACTTGTTTGAGGACTAAGTAGCATACATGTCCGATTTACGACCGAGCTGCTTCTGAGGCAGAATAACCTGAGCCGAGTGAGATTCGTTGGTATCGGGTATAGGGTGGCTCATTATGCAGATGGCACGAGCAACTTTCCCGACCTTCTTAACCTGTTGCATCGGAAAACAACGATCGAACAAAGGCGAACGATGGACATTCGAGGATGCGTACTTGTACATGAAAGAAAAAACAGAGAAGGGTGGGGTTTCATTAGAGGTTTACCCTATCAGGCAAATAAGATGGATCACAAACAACTTTCTTGCACTTTGCAGTTTCTCCTTCAGAAGTCACACCAATAGCTTTCCCATCAGCATCGAATTCTACCTGCAGAACCCGAAGAGCTTAACTATGTTCTCGGTTTATGTAGCCATCTTTAAGAATGATGTCCATCGAGTACGAAATTCGGGTTTTCGAAATGCTTTACCTTACACTCTGGCTTGTTGAGCATGTAAGTACCGCCATAAACCGCGCTTAAACGTGCAAATGCCTGCCGATAGAGACACAGTAACATGTATTCTATTAATTCGAAGCTTAAACGACAGAAAACGACTCACCTGAGGCAATTCTCCAAGTCCATATAGTGGATAGATATAAGGATCCTCCTTGAAACCGTGCCAAAGACTCTGCATAAAGCTTCACAAAACAAACGCAGAAATTAATACACTGATTATAATGCTAAACGGAACAATATGGGCATGCACCGAAGAATCGACCATCGAACTTCAATCGAAGATTAAACTACGATGCGAAAGAAACTTATTTACCTTCATTCTCTTGACAAAACTCAGCGCTGGTTGGTCCAAGTAACTATCATCCTTGTGGAGTGCTAAGGCGTGACCAATGAAGTCAATTGTGTCATCTTCAAGCCCATACTTTCTGCAGTGCAAAAATTAGCTCACAACAAGAGCAGATACGTTAGACTCGTCCGAGGTACCTAATGTCCAACACCATGTCGGACATTTACTTGGACATAATTACAAGGATACGTAAGTGGACATAATTACAAGGATACCCTCTAAAGATCGAACATATCCGTGTAGGATACCCGAGTCCGAGCAGCATAACATTAGAGATCAAACACCCCTTCTCAAAAGGGAAAGATTAAATTCTAGACCACAAACATTCTAAATAGAGGGAAACAAGGATGAGATACACACGAGATAAGTTGTCTGGCTGTAACTTTATTCAGGTCCATTTTTCATGAGATTTTGGATCATTTCATCATAGTCTTGCATAAATGAAGAACTTCCTGGCTCGCCGCTTCTCGAACAGCCCCATCAAAGGCGATTTCAGTGCCTCGACATCAGTCGCCGGAACTTTGTAGACCTAAAGATTATGGTAATTCCTTTTAACTTGTTGCAGTCAATAGAACAATGCTAACATACATACATACAGTAATCTTACTTTTTTCTTATTGTACACATAACTTCCATCCACAGCCTTGAAGTTAAGATACTTGGTGACATTGGTGTGGATCAAAATACGAACCAGACTTCCATTGGCCATCATGAACTGTGAAACCAATCAATGAAGCATTTTCATTACATACATACATGCATGCATGCATGCATACATACATACCTTGGGCATCATATCAACATTATAATCCCTGCTTGATCCCAGTTTTTCTGGAGGATTATCATTTCCCTTGAAATGTTTCCAAAGCTACGCCATAGCAAAAGAAAGAAATACAAGATTCAGAAAACAGCATAGGAAAATGTAAAAAACCAAAGGTTTCATTCATCAAGAACAATGATGACCTGCACAAGATTAAGAGAAGTCGACTCTCCACCATAATAGTCATTCCTATCCATGTGCAGTACCTGTCATAGGCAAAAATAACATGCAATCGCAAAAGGAAAACCCATATTTCATTTCTTTCGAACCAAACAGAAGATAGAAATGAGACGAAGTGATGAAAAATTGATTAAATCAAAGGGCTGAATGTACTTTGAGTCCATCGACGGAGAGAACGCCACTGAGAATGCATTCCTTGAGGCCGGTCCCTAGAACTATGACATCGTACTCTTCATCCATGGTTGAATAACTCGATCGCTGTTGTTTTTTGTTTTCTGAGATTTCGAGCTTTCTTCTTCTGTGTATGTATTAGGGGTTTCTTCTTGTTAGTGTTTTTTGGAACAGGTCTTTAGCGGGAAATTAACGAGAGAGCTGTGCTTTCGGGAAGTTACTAAATTCACGTTTTTTAATGCACGCGGGATGCAATGCATCAAAAGCTTCGAGACCAACACGTACTAGGTTGTGGTTTTACACTTACTAATTCAATTATTAACAAGTCTAGCATTTTACGGGTAAATTAAATCATTCTTCACTTAATTATCTTTTCATTTTTATTTTAGTATTAGAGTTTAAAAAAATTAATTTAACTACTCGACTTCCAAATTATTCCTATTTTAATCACTCTAATTTATTTTATTAATAATTTTTGTGCCATGATTTTTTTATTATTGTTTTATTAATATATAATTAAAATAAAAAAATAAAATTGAAAGTTAAAGTGATTAAATTATGAGTAATTTGAAAGTAAAGTAATTAAATTAAAAAGATTTGAACTTTCGTGACCAAAATAGGAGTAAGGAGATAGTTGAGTGATGAATGATGTAATTTACCCATAGAAAAGGTGTCACGTGTAAATCACCAGTTAAGCTTTTGATGACGAGGTACTAAACTAAACAAAAACTAAACGTTATGTATTACTTTAAAAAATAAAAATTTAAGTATTAAAACGGACCAAAATTGATAGCTTAAGTGTTAAACGTATAATTTATCCTAAGTTTATTTACAAACTCAACTATTGATCTCTATAAATCTAAATGAATATAAATTGATATAAAATTTATTAATCCTGATTATATATATTAGATTTTTGGAGGACAAAAAATAAATAGTTGAGACTAATATTAAGAAATGAGCATTGATAGATCCAAATTAGGTTTAGGGTGGACATGTGTCTACTTTGAAATTCAATTTTTTAACTAATTATTTATTTTATTGATTGTGTTCACCCTAAAACTATATATATATAATTTTTATTTTTCTTTAAAAATTTTAAACAACTCTCGATTATTTAAAAAATTAATTTGATCATTGAATTTAATTTAAAAAGTTAATTTGACTATTTTATCACATTATTATTCACATTGTTTTATCATCATTATGATAGGTCAAGTCAATATCGTAACAATTAATGTTCCGTTATATTAGTTAAATAATCAAATTGATTTTTTATGGTAAAAATTGTATGCAAAAGAAAGTTCAAGAATTGCATTAATTTTCTAGGAAAATCTGAAGACCTCATATGCTATTAAAAAAAAACTTATTTTCGTATCGTGTTTATATATTTCATGTATCTAAAGTGTTATAAATTTCCACAAACCAATCGATATCAGTAGTAAAAGAATTATTATTGGTCCTTAAGATTTCGGGTTCAAACTCCAGAAATATCATAGATGTGAGCATTTAATATTAAATGATTGAGAATTATCAGAGAATATAAATAGGGTGGGTAGCACCCCATACAATTAAACTAATATTAAATTTATTTTCTTAAATAATTTTTAGTAACTTTTCTTAATAATTTATCAACAATTTAGACATACAAATTGAGAATTAAGAACCATCGATAAAAGTGAAAACACAACGTTGATGATTATTCAAAATCGTTAGGCTAAGATATATTATTTTATGTATGAACATAATAAAATTTAGGGTAAATTATGGTTGAAACTAATTATATCTATGGATGAATTTGGGGATTAATTTGGATTATTCAAAAGTTTAGGGCCTAATTTAGAAAGAGGGTCATAGTTTAGGGATAAAATTAAAATGTTCAAAAGTTTAAAGACTAATTTAGAATGAAAGTCATAGTTTGAAGATGAAAATAGAATATTCAAAAGTTTAAGAACAAATTTAAAATGAAGGTTATAATTGAGAGTAAAACATATGATGCAATTAACTTTATTTTATCACTGAAGTTGTTTAATAAATCCATCGATCAATAAATTAAATATGAATACCAACTAGGATTGTTCATGGACGGTTAATCGTATCGTTTATCCTAAACGATCGGTTAACCGTTAAAACGGTTATGAGATTTTTCTAACCGTAACCTAAACATTATGAAATGGTTAACCACTAACGATTAACTATTATTAACGGTTCGGTTACAGGTTAACCTACAGTTAACCTATTATAATTTTTTGTCATTTTTTTTCATAATTCATACTAAAAAAAATGTAGCACTTAACTTACATCGGTGTAACCGTGTAAATGAATAAAATAAACAAGTGTAACACATAAGACATACTATACCCGTGTAAGTGAATAAAATAAAATAATATAACACTTAACACATACTTACATCGGTGTAAGTAAATAAAATAAAAAATATAACATTTAACACATACTTACACTAGTGTAAGTATATACATCGCTCAATATCTTAATATCTAATAATAAACATAAATAAATAATAAATAATATATATTAAGTTATTTTTATATAAATTTTATTAAATATATATTAAATTATAAAGAGTAGAAACTTATATCAAGTTACTTATGTAAAAATATAATAAATTAGAAATATAATTATAAATTTAATTTATTACCGATTAATCATTAGTTAACAATTTATCAAATTTTATAACTGTAACCTTATCTGTTAACCATTCTTTTTAGCGTTTCGGTTAACCAAAACCGTTTAATATTAACGGTTCAGTTAATTAACCTATTAAATATAACGATTATACTGGTTAACGATTATAGTTAACGGTTTTGGGTTTTTTTGAACACCCCTAATACTAACATGTTGGTTCAAGTGGTAAGCAACTTGATATCGTTTAAGCATATCTCGAGTTCGAATCTTTGTGTATGCGTAAAATTTCTGCGGAGAGACTCACTTACCAAAATCAGGTGTGCAACCTGAATCAGTCTGAATTAGTAAAGATAAAATCCTAAAATCGAGAGAATAAAGAAATATATGAATAATATTTTAATAAATAAATGTCTTTGGCGAGGATCTAAAAAGCCATGCTTTCCATTACTTTTTATTCTTTCATATTTATTACAACTTTATTTACTTTCACATAGTTTTCTCCGTCTTTCTTGGAGGTTAGGACAGTTGGATCCAACCAACCAACCAACATAACCATTTCCCTTTTCATTTTTTTTCAAGCTTTTTCCTCGTTGCTGTCAATATTCTTTGAATGACTCTCTACTAATTTTTCACTGTTTCTTCCTTTAATTCCTTAATTTCTTTTTCATCACCAAAGCACTCTCCATTATTCTCTTATATTTTTCTTTAGCTTTTTTTTAAGATCCATCTGATTTCAATGGCAGCTCTTGCACCTACCCCTCTTTCGAAACACCCTTTATCAAGTTCACCGAAGGTAATTTTCTTCACCCTCACCCATTATCACCCTTTTCCCTCTCTTGAATCGTTTAAATGCTGAATGTGCATGTTCCTGAATCCGGGTTTACTTTCTTTGTTAGCAGATCTTTGATTCCAGGGTCCAAAGTGGGGAGATTCAACCGACCCAGTTCAGATTCCTGGCTTCTTTCAGGTTAGGGATTGTTTTGATCGATCCCCCCATTGTTCAAAATCCCAGATTTGTTGTGGTTTCTCGGAGATTTATAGCTCCGAATGCGCTTAAGCTTGTTCTATGTTCATAGGCATGGTGTTGAATTGTTGATAAGTTAAGAACTGAATTAGGGATTGGGGATTAAGGTTGTGGATCTGAATGGACTGAAATGATTTCCCCAATTGTATGTTATTCGTTCATGTAAGGAAGTTAAATTAGTCCAGGATTCGATCTCGTGTTAGTTGGTTCGAGCTCTGATTTTCGTATTGTTTGATGATTTGTTATAGGAGAAGTTATACAAATTTAAGATTACGACTACAATGCAAGTTTCTGGATTGACTCTTA